CTAAAAATATCATACAAAATCCCTAGGGGACTTTTAAGGCAGATAAGACAATTGTGTACATTTCAATAAATGGCTAATATGTCAAGTTTATTGTAAAAGATCACCAGACTATACAATTTCATTTGATACACAAAATACTGTATCTTATTCTATAAACACAGCTAAAAATTATTTTAAAACCCCATGTGTCCATAGTATAAAAAAATTGCAGTATGTCTATTGTGGCTTGAATTTTTGTAGAAATATCAGGACAAAACCAAATATGTTTCGGAAAAACTCCTTCTGCAGTGGATAAAGCAGTGGTATGCCGTGTATACTAGACCAAAACAGCTTATAAATGATAGTTGATTACAGATGGTTACAGGAATATGGCTGCCAATACATTGCTCATCCACCCTGGACCCAGATAGGGATGCCTTCCCTACACTGTTTGGTCAGCTCCCAGTGTCCGACTGTTAGTACAGAATCTAGCCCTCTAGAGCCTCTCCCTCTAGCCCCTTACCTCTACACTTTATTAATTAGGCATGAGAGGGTATGTTCAGCTATTAAACTCCTGTCTATTACTTGACAGCCATATTGCAGGGAGCCAACCAATCTATGCAAACACAAACATCTAGGTGACACATACACCCCATCCAGGACCATGCCCTTGATCAGCTAGGGCTTAAACAACATAGCATGGTGCAAGCATAATGCTTGTCCCGCTCTTCTAAACATACAAAATAGAGCAGATGCTGCTTCTAATTAACAAAAGCGGAACACGCCCTTTTGTTAATTAGGACATTAGGACTGATCTACTCCCTTTTCTATGCTGTATCTGTTACAGACAAAGCACAGAGCAGTACAACTGGAGCTGCCATCACTGCTCCCCCCCCTTTTCATTAAGCTGACTGTGAGAGGAAGGAAGCTGTGCAGGCAAGAGGAATGTGAGCCTGTGTATAAGCCAGGTCTTGGGAGGGATCTGCTGCAGTTCTCTATACTAGCAACTGCTGCAATCCATCCTATAGCACACATACTGCTACAGGGTGGCAGGGGTGCGCAAAATCACGTATATATATACCTGATTTTGCATTTCTGGGTAGGAGGCATGCACGCCTTACCTGCTCCACCATTCGCGGCCACGGCTGTCAATCATCGGGTCCCGGCTGGTGATTACCCGCCGGTGCCCAGTGATTACCGAGGATCTCCGACAGGGAGGAGGGCTGCTGTCGGCTTGGGCACACTGCTCTGGATAGCTGTGGACACCAGCCCACCGCCATCCAGTAAAACACTCACAGCACAGTTAACCCTTTGATCACCCCTCATGTTAGTGCCAGTGCCATTAGTACACTGCCCAGTGCCATTAGTACAGTGTCAGTGCTTTTTTTTTTAGCACTGATCACTGTATTGGTGTCACTGGGGATGTCAGTGACACCAAGTCAGTTCCCCCCAGTGTTAGAATGCCCGCCGCAGTCAGAAAGCCCGCCGCTATAAGTTGCTGATCGCCGTCATTACTAGTAAAAAAAAAAGAAATTCAGTATCTATACCTCTATTTGTAAACACTATAATTTTCACCAATTAATTTACCCGTATTGGGATTTTTTTAGCAGACATGTAGCAGAATACATTTTGGCCTAATTTTATGACGAAATTTGATTTTTAAAATTTTTTTTACTGGACATGTTTGATGGCAAAAAGTCAAAAATATTGTTTTTTTTTTTTTCAAAATTGTTTGGTTTTTTTTTTTATAGCGCAAAAAATAAAAAATGCACAGGCAATCAAATACCACCGAAAAAAAGCTCAATTTTTGGGAAAAAAAGTCGTAAATTTCACTTGGATGTAGCATTGCATGACTGCTCAATTGTCAGTTAAAGTAACGCAGTGCCATAACACAAAAAATGGCCTGGTTAGGAAGGAAGGGGGGTAAATCCTCAGGAGGGCAAGTTGTTAATCTGGAGTGGAACGCACACCAGTTTCTATATCACCCTGAAAAAGAAACTGGTGTGGATGGTGCAGATAGACTTAAAACAGCTCTATCTGTTGAATTAATGTGGAGCACGCTACTCCAGAAGGTTTCCTCCACCAGTTTCCTGCACAGGAAGCTTAGTTGATTCCCCCCCAATGAGAGTTTGCTTCTGTGGGTTGCAATTATTCTTTGCACCCAGTGTAGCTCCATCCAACACTGCATCTTTCCCAAGCTATCGGTAAAAAAAAATTTCCTCAGACCCACAGAGATGTGTAACATTCAGTTTGTAGGTGCCTGTAGATAAAAGAAGCAGAACATAAACTGATACCAGGGGTGGACTGACAAATCATGAGGCCCCCAGGCAATAGGGGATCAAGGGCCCCTGTGTCCTCTCCCACACTCAAATCACACCCAAGAAAGCCTACGAAAGGTACCAGGGGCATCTCATGGGGTCTCCTACTGACCCCAGGAACTCGGGCAGTGCCCGAGTACCCGAATGGTCAGTCCGCCTCTGACTGATACTATGCCTTTTAGTTATAATTTCAGCCTTACTTAAACTTCCTACATGACTTTAAAATGATCACGAAGTGCAGGATCTTCTTGAAATAAGTCTATGGTTCCTACTCATTTGGTTTGTTCATCCCTGTCCACAAAAGGTGGCACCAAACCACTGGAACAGGATATTTACATACAGCCTTCCAAATCATAAACTGCACTAAGCGCAATACATTGGGACTTGGTTAAACAAATAAAAATGTTAACACTCAGTATAACAGCACACTGAGCGGTTGACATTTATTTTATGATGTGGCCACAGCACAAGTATGTTTATTTTCATTTCTGCCAGAAAAATGTGGTTTTGGTTTGAGGATATTCATATGTGAATTTACACCCCCAGTGGGAATATCACTTCACAACAATATATGAGTTGGGTTGTTACATGGGTTTCCGTGTTGCACAAGTAAGCGGGCTACATCACCACTTGTGCCGAGTTTGTCGCAGAGAACTTTGTGCAGTGAGTCCCTACAATCAGCCTCCTATACAACTTCATTTTTACACTTCATATGTACAATTTCACACTTGCCTGGATTAAACCTGTACTAGAAGATCTGTAGAGATGCTATTGTTTGCTAGTTATGTTTGTAAGCAGGTGGATGTAAAGTGTTTTATGTTTTGTTAAACTGTTGAATTATATATAAGGTAATATATGAGGGTTAAACTTGTTTAATATTATTTAAGTGTTTTATACTGTTGGGGTTTGTTGTCCTGCTGACGTGGTGCTCCTTAAGAGGTCAGGGTTAACTTTTGGGGAGGTACCGCCAACTGCTGAAGCAAACACATAAAAAAGGAGGAAACTACCACTGGGCCAGAGGTTTCCCCTTCCAAAGGACAAGTACGCTGCCAAGGATGTGATCCCTTGTGGAAACCCAGTCTGGATTCCAGGGGGTATGGACTGGCTTTTGATTTGAGGGCTTTAAAGGACTTTCTCACCTATTTAAGGTATGACTATCTTATGGGGCAGGGGCACCAAGAAATTACCTTAGATACTTAGAAGATCTTGTATAGGAATGTGTGTTGGAAGCATTTATGTTGAACTGTTCCTTTGTTATATTTAAATAACTTCAGTAAAGAACTTTGTTGGTAGATACATCTTTGCCTGGTCTGAAGTCACTTCAGGACAATTTTAAAGGGGTGCATGTTTGCTTGGCGTATCACAGAACATGGTTCACACCTGGGGAGAAGACAAAATAGAGAAGATGCAGTACAAATGTCTAACGTGCAGTGAAGCTACTGGAGGAGGATATATTGCCATTTCTAATGTTTACAGTTCTGGTATTGAGTCCATAGACAACCATCAGTGCGACTTGGCATAGGTGACAGAAGGCCCTGGTAGTGAAGGAGCTTGTGTGCTTAGGCTCTTTCTCTAGCATCCAGAACCTCAATACTGGGTCACGGGGAATCCTAGAGACCCAAAATCTAAGTCACGAAAGATGGAGTGAGGCCTCGGGAGACAATAAGCATGGGTTATGTACAAAGTTGAGCATCCTAGTATTCAAGTGTAATAATCAATGTCACTGGGATGAGGTGAATGGTTACTGGACTGATGAAGTCCAATGCAAGCTCCACAGCACAAGTTCAAAAATGCTGCACAACAAAAAAGAGAGAAGAGTTATATAATGTGTAATGAGGACCTCCTATTCATAGTGTACAATGTAGAGTTACCGAAGCTGGGCCATGGATTGCAAGGTGTTATTTATGTCTGTGTGGAGAGTATCACTTTTAAGATGGAGTTCTGCCTTAAACGCTATTTACATTGGGAAACAGCCTCAGCCCACCTTTGGGGGACACTAGCAAACATTCTCTCCCCATCCTGCATGGGCACCGCATTCATTTGGTAAGTTCAGAACTCTGAACTCTTTTCAAGCTTCACCCTGGACCGAGTCATTCATTCATACATAAATAAACAGGCGGGATGCTGGTGATGTCAGTGGCCTTATATGGACACATGCTTATATTCACAGCCATTGGCTAAATATGGGCATGTGCCCAAGAGGTAAATCTATTCGTTTTGTCATATTTGTTATGTTAGAATGAATATACAAATAAAATCAATAAAAGTAAAATAGTGATGACAAACAGCCAGCACAAAATATAGAATATGCAGTACTATATGGTTAAATAAATACACACAAGTGCAGTGCTTGAAAAATGTTTGTAGAAGCAGTCTGCATGCCTAGGTGCTTGATTTTGTATACCTGTGGCCATGGAGGTGATTGGAACACCTGAATTCAATGACTTGGAGGGCTGACCCAATACTTTTGGCAATATAGTGTACTATACGGTTAAATAAATACACACAAGTGCAGCACTTGAAAAACAACTCAGAAAAACACATCAAACCACATGTACAGTACTGTATATCATAAAGTCCATAGTAGCAACAGTGAAGCTGTACACTCTTAATAGCATTCCCCAGTGAATTAGTAGTAAACTATAAAAAACAAAAATATAATGTGATCTTCTCCACTTTTGGTCAATATGTGTGTGACACCACCAGGGGCAGACTGACAACTCATGGGGCCCCCGGGCAATAGGGGATCATGGGGCCCCTGTGTCCTTGCCCAAACTCAAAAAAGCCTATGAAAAAGGTACCAGGGGCATCTCATAGGGCCCCCTACTGACCCCAGGCCCTCGGGCAGTGCCCGAGTTTCCAAATGGTCAGTCCGCCCCTGGACACCACATGTCCTCCATCAACCGCACTCCAGAGGAGGTATGACTCTTGCAAGAGATGCATGTAATGTGTGCTCATTCTTACATGTTTACAGCTTACAGGGCAAATGAGGATGCCAGAGGTTCCTGCTGCCTAGCATGCTTGGTTGCTATGATGCAGGCAACTTCTGCTGCCTTTTGTCCTAGGTTGCTATGGGAATGGCAACTTCTGTCACCTAGGGTCTAAGGTTGGTAGGATGCAGGCAGCTTCTGCTGCCTAGCGTCTAAGGTTTCTAGGATGTGGGTTGCTCCTGCTGCCTAGCATGCTTGGTTGTTAGGATACAGACAATTTCTGACATCTAGCATCTAAGGTTGCTAGGATGCAGGAGACTCCTGCTACTTAGCATCCTCTGTTGCTAGATTGCAGGTGGCTTATGGCACCTATTGCCTTAAGTTGCTAGAATGCAGAAGGCTCCTGCTGCCTGGCATCTTTGGTTGCTAGGATGCAGGAAGCGTCTGCTGCATAGCTTCCTAGGTTGTTAGGAAACAGGTAGCTTCTGTAAACTAGCATTCAAGGTTGCTAGAACTCAGGAGGCTCCTGCTACCTAGCACTCTCTGTTGCTAGAAATGCAGGTGGCTTACGGCACCTATTGTCTTAGGTTGCTTCGGTGCAGGCGGCTGCTGCTGCTTAGCATCCTCAGTTGCTAGGATGCAGGTGGAAGAAGCTGCCTAGCATCCTTGCTCTAGGTTAATAGTGTAAATTTAGGTTAATTGCTGCATGCATGTAAAACTTTATCACAAACATTTACATACATACAGCATTATATACGGCCCATATGCAAGACTGTAAATGCAGTTTTCTCTTTTTTTTTTAAAGCAGGTAAACATAGCTGTGTGCTTGGGTGCATAGCCCATAGTTTATTTTGTGCCTTTGTGCATGTAACCTAAAAAGAGAAAAAAAAAAAATCTGCATTGACCAGATCTGCAATACAAGGCTATGGACTTACCTTACTAGTGACATGTTTGCTAAGTATTTTGAATATACAAAATAATTTCCAACATCCAGTATAAGCCACACACATTTACATTTTTCTACATTGTAGACTTGAAGGTCCAAACTTCGCTGCTGTTCCCATACATTTTGAACATATGACATTATTAGTTACATGGTAATGCTAAGCAGACCAGGAGGAGCAAACAGGTTTGCACAGTTAGATTGACAAACAGATGCTGAGCCATTGTGACACAGCTGCTATCACTGAGCTAGAGAAAGCAGGTCAAGGTTGCGAGGAGAAAGTGCCTTTCTGTCTCGTAGCTCTGAGCAAAAAAGATCCATGTGGGGAGAGAAAGTCGTGCTGTAGAAAATATGATGTGAAAAAAGATGGAACCCATTGGAAGAAACTGTGGTATGGTTACTTCTTAAAGTGGTATTAAAACCAGAATGTTGTTTCCTAAATCATATAGAAGGTAATGAACTCACATACAATTTAATTTTTTTTTAAATTTCCTCCTAAGAGCTTTCTTTTTCAGTCCTCTATATTGCACTGCTATAGTCCTGTTCTCTCTGTGCCACCAGAACCTATGTAGTCCTGTAGGAGGTGCATCCTTTCCTTTCCTTTCTTTTCTTTTCTTTTCCTTTCCTTTCCCTTCCTTTTCCTTTCCCTTCCCTTCCCTTCCCTTTCCTTCTTTATTATTTGTTTCATTTTTGCTTGGGGCTCCCCCTTAAAATCCATACCATGTATAGCATTGGGGGGGGCTCAATTTTTAGTTTTGTTGTTGTTTTGTTTTATTACATTGTGTCCCCTTTAAAATCTATATCAGACCTGTTGGGCCTGGTATGAATTAGGAGGGAGACCCCATTTTTTTTGGGGGGGAGGGGTGCAAGGCCCATTAACATCTACATAATATTTTTACCTAATTAACAAACAGGATGAGGCAGCTGGGAACTGTCATTTTGCCACCAATTTAAACACACTTTGTTCTTTGTAGAGTGGGCCAATGACTTCAAGGAAGTTTAGGAGCCGCCATCTTGGAAATTCCTTAACACATTGAAAATACATTATAACAAGGTTTATTACTGTGGTGTCCCAGCAGGACTTTTAAATGTGAGTTCACTTTATTTTTTTAATAAATCAAGCTATATTTATATACTACACTATGGCAAACGTTTCTGTTGACATATGCGGAGGATTTGTGGGATAAAGAGGAATCGGTGCCGTTTGCAGCAGAGTGAGGAGGAAAGCGGAGTCATCTATGGAGTATACCTACCCAGGTTAAAAGGCAAAGGCGGTATTTGACCTATGCAATTTGGGTCATAAAAGGAGGTGAGAGTATATATTATTATTATTATACAGGATTTATATAGCGCCAACAGTTTGCTCTGCGCTTTACAATATAACGGAAGACAGTACAGCAACAATACAGTTCAATACAAGAGGGATAGGAGGGCCCTGCTCCTTGGAGCTTACAATCTGTATGTCGCTGGTGGAGGAGCACCTATAGGAATATATGTGGATAGGAACAATAAAGAGCACCTGTTTGGGAACAAATTATAAAGGCACGGATCAAGCACACATTATGAACTTTTAAGTTGCATTCAGTATATTCACCGTTGTTGCATAATCACATGGTGTGGATGCTTTCATTGATATATGAGGTTATAGAGATATATGCTCGGTACTATTTTATGACATATCTTTGTAAATGTTGGTGTTCCTGTAGTAGGTTGTATACACCATACAAATGCACCACTTCATCGGAAGGATCAGGGTGTATCCCCCAAGTATGTTATAGAAATGAATTTTGAATTTATAATATTGCAGTTTAAGCACTGAAAAAATTGCTGCTCCCAGCCAAACAAAATTTAATTTCTTTTTGTTTTGGTACATGTCCCCAAGGGCAATGCCCGGCCCCTCCCTCCCCCCATGCCATTTGTTTGACAATTCTTAAAGCGATAGTAAACTCATGTCTTCACAATAAAAAAGCTGGCCCCTCTGCAGGTTTAAGTCATAATGTACTAGTATGAACCACATACTAACACATTATGATAGACGTACCTGCAAACAGAGCCCCCCAGCACAGCACTGTCATGGCTCCCTCGGCACTTCAATCTTCGCCCGGTCTTCCTTCTGGGTTTTGTATCTTAAATGGCCAAGCTGCGGTGACTCCTCCCATGAATGCGCATTGGAGCCACATTGCTGGGGCACACAGAATGGGCTGTAAATGTGATCGGAGCTGTGCATGCACGGCTCAGATCGCATTACCCACGACAGGCAGGGGGGACAACTAGAGTCTCTTCTGTTATAATAACCACAGCTGTCAGCGGATTTATTTTATATCATGGCTTTTCTACCACTTTAACATATTAGCCTAGGAAATGGTCATTACTGCTTTTTAACATTTGAATACCATTGAGTGGGGTTTATATTCGACACCTGAACTTTAGTTATAGCAATATACAAATAACTCAATGGTGATTCCAGCATAGTTAGAAAACTATTATGTTTTAGGGAGCTTAAGAAGACAAGTGGACACTCCATGAAATTGGAAGAGAAGCAGTTCAACCTTAAACTGCGAAGGGGGTTCTTTACTGTTAGAGCGGTAAGGATGTGGAACTCCCTTCCACAATCGGTGATGTCAGCAGGAAGAGTTGATGGTTTAGATGGGCATCTTAGTGAATGTCATATAAAGGGATATGGGAAATTATATTGACATAAACACATACATACAGTGCATGTCTTCCACTTGTCTTCTTAAGGAGCTTAAGAAGACAAGTGGACACTCCATGAAATTGGAGAGAAAGCAATTCAACCTTAAACTGCAAAGGGGGTTCTTTACTGTTAGAGCTGTAAGGATGTGGAACTCCCTTCCACAATCGGTGATGTCAGCAGGAAGAGTTGATGGTTTAGATGGGCATCTTAGTGAATGTCATATAAAGGGATATGGGAAATTATATTGACATAAACACATACATACAGTGCATGTCTTCCACTTGTCTTCTTAGGGAGCTTAAGAAGACAAGTGGTCCATGAAATTATTCAACCTTAAACTGCAAAGGGGGTTCTTTACTGTTAGAGCTGTAAGGATGTGGAACTCCCTTCCACAATCGGTGATGTCAGCAGGAAGAGTTGATGGTTTAGATGGGCATCTTAGTGAATGTCATATACAGGGATATGGGAAATTATATTGACATAAACACATACATGCAGTGCATCCAGAAAGTATTCACAGCAGTTAACTTTTGACACATTTTGTTATGTTACAGCCTTATTCCAAAATGGATTAAATTCATTTTTTCCTCAACGTTCTACAAACAATACCCCATAATGACAACGTGAAAGAAGTTCGTTTTGAAATCTTTGCAATTTATTAAAAATAAAAAACTAAAATAAACCCCCATATACATAAGTATTCACAGCCTTTGCTCAATACTTTGTTGAAGCCCCTTTATCACCAATTACAGCCTCAAGTCATTTTGAGTATGATGCTACAAGCTTGGCACACCTATTTTTGGGTAACTTCTCCCATTCTTCTTTGCAGTACCTCTCAAGCTCCATCAAGTTGGATGGGGAGCGTCGGTGCACAGCCATTTTCAGATCTCTCCAGAGATGTTCAATCGGGTTCAAGTCTGGGTTCTGTCTGGGCCACTCCAGGATATTCACAGAGTTGGCCCGTAGCCACTCCTGTGTTATGTGGGCTGTGTGCTTAGGGTCAATGTCCTGTTGAAAGATAAACCGTCGCCCCAGTGTAAGAATACCCCTTTCAGCATATTGGTGAGAACCAGCCCTAAAATGTGTTTTAGCATAGGTATAAATGGGCCTGTAATGTTTTTAAACATTTGTTTGGAATTGTTCTTTAAATCCTGATAGTAGGCTATGGTTATTACAAATGTTTGTAGCCAAAGGGTTTTCTATTAGTATCTTGCTATTTCTTAGTGTTTTTTTATTTTTTGCCTTTGAATAGTCCTGTTCTGACTTGATAAGTAATGACCACCAAGGAATCATCCCAATCAATGCAGACATTG